CGACAACACGTCCGGCGATTTTTTCGCAGTGAAGTCCGCATCGTCGCAGCCCGCCGATCGCACGTCGCAGGCGTCGCCCCAGCGACAAGAGCGCCTGAGCAACAACAACGGCGCAGTTGAAGCTCTGGAAAACGAAATCTCTATCCTTTCCACCCTGGACTGCCCGCAAATCGTCGGCTTTCGCGGCGCGGATTGGTCACAGGAAGCCGACGCGAAGGTTCGGAACATGTACTTAGAGTACGCCGCGGGCGGTTCCGTCGCGGGGCTTCTAAGATCCTCCTCGGGGCGCTGCCGCGGACTCGACGCGTTGACTCTTAAGAGGTTCACTAAGGACGTCGTTAAGGGGCTCTGCTACCTCCACGAGCGGAGCGTCGTTCACGGAGATATTAAGAGCCTTAATCTCCTCCTCACCAGCGACGGCCACGTCAAAATCGCCGATTTCGGCGCCGCCTTCCGCGTCGGCAGCACCGCCGCCACCACCGCCGCCGCCCCCGGGGCGGGGATCAGCGCGGGCGGAGTCGCGGTTTGGTCCGCGGCCGCCGCCGCCGCCAGTGGCGCAACCCACGGGCTGCGCGGGACAGCTAACTGGATGGCACCGGAGGTCGGGCGCGGGGAGCAACAGAGCTGCGCCGTCGATATCTGGTCTCTGGGATGCACGGTTCTCGAAATGGCGACCGGGCGGCCCGCGTGGAGCGACGTGACAGGTGGCATGTTCTCCGTGCTTTACGCTGTGTCGTGCACCGAGGAGATGCCGCGGATTGCGGCGGAGGTTCCGGCGGCGGTGCGCGGGTTTATTGGGTGCTGCCTGCGGAGAAATCCCGCGGAGCGCTGGACGGCGGCGGAGCTGCTGGCGCACCCGTTCCTCGCGGAGGTTGCGGAGGGGGAAGAGGGGGAAGCGGAGAAGGCTGCGGAAGAGGGTGCGCGGAAAGCGGCGCTCGTTTGCGCCACTCCCCGCTCCCCGACTTCCCCATTCGAGTTTGGCCTCGATTCCGACTCCGAATGCGATTCGATTGCGCCTGTGACAGCAGCGGGCGGAAAGGGCGCTTCGCCTAAGCGAAAGCGCGCCTGCAGCGGCGATGAAAATTCCGACGATGCTGATGACGTGGCAGTGTGCAAGCGCGCGCGCGACGCAGCGGAGCAGAAGCAGTCGTTTCAGTGGCCCAAGTCCGTTCTGTGCCCCGTTGCTGCTGATTGGATCGTCGTCCTCGCGTTGCGACCCGTTGTAGACGCCTAGAAACCCTAACTACACTGCTGAGTCGCCCCCTCAAATCGAGTGCGGGATTCGCGTGACCCCGCTACCTTCAGGGTTTAGAAGACCTTAGGGCGTAAGCCGATTAGGGTTAGCATCGCCCCTGCAACCACTATCGGAGTGGTTTGTACAGATTGAAAGTGACAACAGCAGGGGGGGTTTCCCTTGGTTGGGAACCCTTCATTAGAATCACTGGCAGCAAGCCCTTCCTGGGGTTTTGGCCAGCATCACCATTCCAATTTTGACACTGATTGACTGTACAGTTACTATATTAAAAGGAGACCACTAACTTATACTATCCCTGTGCACAACAGCACAGCATAAGACATGGCATAGGGACGAGTGTCCACTGTCCAGTGCCCTGCCCACACATGGGGGAATCTAATGAGAACCACCATCCCACCATCCCACCATCCCACCATCCCACCATCCCACCATCCCATCCCACCATCCCACCATCCCATCCCACCATCCCACCATCCCACCATCCCATCCCACCATTGCACAGTGCACAGGAGCAACGCGGTTCCCCCATGGGTTCAGAGCACAACTCAACACACCCCAGAGTGGTGTTGAATTGTCACTAACAGCCACAGCGCTCCCAGAGGTTTTTTAAGTAAGGTACGCAAGCATATGTAGAGCAACAGAGTTTCATACAATCACCAAGTAACGCTGTACCGGTATTTTCTGGGAGGACCAACCTCCTGACTCTCTAAAAAGCAAGCCTTCCAATCAACTGCCAGCCAACCAATCAGAGTCTGCCAGCCAATCAGAGTCTGCCGGCCAATTAGAGGAGGACCACTGGCGTTGACCAATCACAGCAGGCACGTTGACTTGATGGGGGGGCGTCAGCAAGACCACTCCCCAGGGGCTTGAACGCGTTGGCAACCAGCCCATCCCCGTGCCCTGCACACCCTGTGCCCCCACACGCCAGCTGCCCCCTCCTCCCCCCTCCCTTCTCCTTCTCTCTCCCCTCCCCTCTCCTTCCATCTCCCCTCCATCTCCTCCTCTCCCATTCCCCTCCCGTCTCCTCCTCTCCCATTCCCCTCCCTTCTCCTTTCTCCATTCCTCCAGTCACAGCAGGCGCGTTGGCTTGATGGGGGGGCCGGCAGCCGGGCCACTCCCCAAAGGCTTGAAGGCCTTGGCCACCAGCCCATCCCCGTGGCCTGCATACCCCGTGCCCCCACACGCCAGCTGCACCAACCCCCTTCTCTCTCCTTTCGTACCCGCACCCCCAGCAGCACCAGCAGCACCATCACCGTCCACGGCAGCGCCGCACACAGTGCACGCCCTGTCCGCCGAAACAAATTTCTCGATGCACCGTCGGCAAAGCACGTGCCCGCATGCTGCTATAGCCGAGAGCTTCGATGCGTTCGTGAGAGTGGTTGAGCACGCGGGGCACATGTACCGCGCCGCACCGTTGCTCACCGCAGCCGATGTGGTAACCTGCTTCGCCGAACCACCCCCCGAACCTCCTCCCGAGCCTCCGTCGAACCCAAGCGGCTGGTCCGGCGGCGGCAGCTTGGTAAAAACTATCGGGAAAAGGTCCTTCAGACGAAGCTTCCCACAGCCTTCCGGGCAGGTGGTGTCTGTGGGAGGGGGGTCTACTTTTTTCGGAGCGCCAGGAGTGGCCGAAGGCAGCCAGTAGGCCCGCATGGTTCTCACTGCTTCCTCTTCAAAAGCTGTTGTTTTCACAGAATTCGCTCCTTGGAAATTCATGCGGCCGCTCGCACCGCCCGAGGCTGATCCTGGCCCAGCAAGCGAAGGCGCTTCCCCGCCAGCAGCAGCAGGAGTAGCTGCAGCACCAGCAGCGACAATGGCGCCGGGAGTAGCAGCAGCACCGGGGGGCGTCGCACGGAGGCGTTTAAGGGCAGATGGGGCATCAGCACTACCAGCAGCAGCAGCACTAACAGCACTACCACCACCACCACTGCCACCAGCAGAGGGGGCCAGAGCTGCGTGGTTCTGCCGGTCGAAGGTATCCAGCTCTCTCGCTCGCTCCGCTGCCGCTCGCTCGCCCTCTTCCTCCTGCTCCTGCCGCTGCTGCGCCTCCCACGCCGCCCGCTTGCTGAGAGGGGGGCAGGAGGGGGGAACGGCGAAGGGGGGGATGGAGGAAGGGAGGGGATACCATCATCAACAGCACCAGCACCAGCACCAGCTCCAGCTCCAGCACCAGCACCAGCTCCAGCTCCAGCACCAGCACCAGCTCCAGCACCAGCACCAGCACCAGCTCCAGCTCCAGCAGTATTAGATGCGGAGGAGGAGGAAGATGAGGAGGAAGATGAGGAGGAGGAAGAGGAAGAGGGGGCCTTTATGGAGTCCTTCTTTCCCCAGCCGCTCCTTCTGCTTTAGAGGAGCCTGGAAGGCGAATCCGTGAAAGGCGAATCCCTGCCTCCTCATGCGTGGCAAACCCTAGCCGCTCGAAACAAACGCTCACCGTTTGATGTCCTTTTTTTGCGCGAGCAGGCAGCTGTAGATGCACTCTTTGCATAAGGTGTGCCCGCAGCGGCAACTAAGAGGGTCAACGGCCTCCTGAATGCAGAGCGAGCAGGAGTCGAAGGGCTTGAACATGGAGTCCTTACCCAGGCGCTTCCTTCCTGAGTCGTCCTTAATCCCCTAGACGCTGAATACAGCTCACCACCACGTACACTCACCGTTTGATGTCCTTTTGCGCGAGCAGGCAGCTGTAGATGCACTCTTTACAAAAGATATGTCCACTGCGGCAGCTCAGCGGGTCGACGGCCTCGTGGATGCAGAGCGAGCAGGAGTCGAACGGCTTAATGGAGTCCTTCCTTCCCCAGCCACTCCTTCTAGTCGCTCCCTCCCCTAGACCCTCAATACACTCACCGCTTGATGTCCTTTTTTTGAGCGAGAAGGCAGCTGTAGATGCACTCTTTGCAGAAGATGTGTCCGCTGCGGCAACTGAGCGGGTCGACGGCCTCTTGAATGCAGAGCGAGCAGGAGTCGAAGGGCTTGATGGAGTCCTTCCCCAGGCGCTCCTTCTGCGTGCCGAATCCGAGCTTCCGCCGCTCCTCGTACGTGAAGTGCGCGCGGTCGTTGCTGTTGCGCGAGTGCCGCTGCGGCATGGCGGGCTAGCGGTAGGCAGGCTTTGCCGGCTAGCTCGACTCGTGCTGATTTGGAGAATTCTCACGAATGCTCGACTCGTGCTGGCTGGCGGAGAACCGGAAAAGCCGCGGTGAAATCGCCAAGAGACTTTCTCAAGGTTTTCTAGGGATTGCCGCGGGATTGTGTGATGGTTGCCTAAGGATCGCTCGAATTGACGGCGTGAGCACGATCGCCTAGATGACGGCGTCGCCTGAACTGACGGCGTGAGGACTGCCAGGAACCAAGGCTCGAAGATGCGTACGCGGTATCCCCAAGGCAGCGCGGGGGGTCGTGAAGACGCAGGCCAGCCAGGCTCTAGAGATGTCCTGTATGAGGGAGGGAGAGGTAATTAGGCTCAGAGCAAAAATCAAGAACCTGATTGGTGAAAAGCAAGAGTCGTGCTGTATGTTACAAGTACCGTACTGAGCCGCTCTGGATCTCGGTACATCTTACTCGATATTGAGACACCCGTGAAAGCACTGGGAAGAAAACCGTGGGCAGGTGAATGATATGTTCTCAGACTGACATCCATTAGGTGCTCACCGTTGCACCTCGAATGATTTTCATAGTAACGGATAGCGGATGAGGCAATATCGATCGAATTTGCTCGTCCAAGCCTCACCTCTCCATTTTCCTCCCAACGAGATTCAAATCCTCGCTATAGGCATATTTCTTTCGAGCCTTCCAATATAGTCACTCGCCTCTGGCAGGCCCGCACTTCCCCCGCTGTAGTAGCATTCAGGGGGGTAATGTACCACCATGGTCCCCGCTACTAGCACATCCTGGTCCTCACAGTTACTCGCTCCCCACAATGCTCCCCTCGTCTGTGGCTCCCTCAGCTACAGTCACCGATGCTCGCGGCGCGAGACCACACTCGTAGCGGCCAATCTGCGGAATTCGCCAACCACAAATCCTGGCCGTAGATTAAGTTCTAAGTCGCCGCAAAGCAAGGCTGGTCGATTGACCCGCAGCAAGAGCGCGGCTCCTAATACCGCGTCCTTGAGTGGCAGCAGGAGAGGTAGCGTCCACGCCGACTCTAGGCAGAATCACTGGGTTAGCAACAGTGACGCGGGTGCTCGATCACCGTTTAACGGAGCAGCTACTAACGCGCGCGTCAACCAGGGAGCTACCACGAAAAGCACTAGGAGTAGCGACACTGACGGTGGCAGCATGAGCGGCCGTGACACGAGCGTGAAAGCCGCCGCGAGCGACGCGGCGGGTGGCAGCGCGGCTGGTAGTCAGGTGTTCGCCGTGACTGGCGCTACAGGGTACTAAAACGGTTTTGTTTACTCTCGTTATTATATCGAGTACAATGCTCGTATCCAATATTGAAGATAGCGGTCAGGTGTTCTCCGTGACTGGCGATACAGGGTACGAGTAAACGGGCGTTTGATGGTGTGCCTTATATCGAGTACGATGCTGCATTTCATTGTTGCGGCTGGCAGTCAGGTGTTGTGCCATAATCTGGGCAACAGGGTGCGAACACCTGACTGCCATGGAATGTGCCGCTGCTTTCTTTCGTTCTATCGAGTAAATTGAATACTTTTATGAATTGACGGATAGCGGTCAGATTCTTGCCGCGACTGGCGCCAAACAAGGCACGGGAAGGGAGGAGGAGGCGGTGCTGGGTGGGGGGTGGGGGAGAGAGGGGGGGGTTTGTTGAGATGTTGAAATGATAATAGCATGGCTTGAAGTCATACTTTCTGCCCACGCACCATCGCCCACCCCCCTCTCCCCCTCTCATGCTCCTATCCTATACCCGGATTCATTCCTCGCCTCTCATCTGCTGCAGCAGCTGCTAGCTGCGGGCCACACTGCCAGGTGCCAGTGCAGCCAGCTCAATGCCCGCTGGCCCGCTGCTGGCAGCTGCTGCAGGAGATGCCCCTGCACAGGTGCCAGTGCAGCCAGCTCAATGCTCCTCTTCCCGTGTTCACCCCCCCTTGATCCACGCAGCATCACCCAATGCCCACACTTCCTCCTGCCCCTGTCGTCTATCCCCCATCCCCCATCCCCTAGTGCAGTGCAGATTCTTGGGCTCTCATCTGCTGCACCAGCTGCTCGCAGCGGGCCACCCGGCCCGGTGCCTCTGCAGACAACCGCTCAGTGTCCCTCGCCCCTGCCCCTATTTCCTCTCTCCCTGGCCCTCCACCGTCCGTGCCTTTATGTCCGATCCCCCATCCCCCATCCGCTAGTGCAGGTTCTTGGGCTCTCATCTGCTGCACCAGCTGCTAGCAGCAGGCCACACTGTCAGGTGCCTCTGCAGACAACCCAACGCCCTGCCGCCCCACCCAAACATGCAGGTACCCCGTTGCCCTGCTGGACCCATGTGTGTATGCCGCCCATTAATTCGTGCCTGGGGTTGCCCTAGATTGTGAAGGAATTCTCCATGCTTGGTTGATTAGTGTCTTCGTCAGCCACGACTCACAGACAGCCGTCCATTCTCCCTGTAGCCATCCCACCCTCAGCAGCTCTCAGGAGCCGTTTCACAACCTCTTCCACCTGCCTTGCCTTATTTCTCGGCAGCTCTAGCTCGGCCCCTCCCCACCACGGCCAGTGCTAGGTTTTTTGCTAGCTCGGACGATTTGGACCCCTCTCAAAAGACCCCTTTAGAATCCGAGCTGAGCCGAAGATTGGTCGGATGAATCGGGGTCCGAGCCGAGAAAGGCCTGTGCGCCACCAATTTTTTCGGGGGGCGGGGGAAATTGTACCTACGCCATTACTTCAGTGGGGCAATTGGGTTTGGCCTCCCTCCTGCGGCGCCACGGCCGTGGGGAAGAGGGGGGAGAAGGATGCCTCACATACCGGAGAGGGTGACTCAATCTGTACGTGATACAGAATGACATAAATAACCCCGGCTTCCAGCAAGGGGGGTTCCCGAATGCACTGGGCTATGAGAGGTGTGGAGCGAGATTTGGGGGAGGGAGGGGGGGAGGGAATTGCGGAGGGCGGCGAGTTGGGGGGGGTCAATTATTGAGGTAAAAAAGAGGTGTTGGGGAAGGGGGGGCGGGGGGGGTGTTGGGTGGATGGGAGGGAGGAAGAAGGTCCGGGTCGCCCTGTAATTCCCCCGGATCAGTACGGATCAGTACGGATCAGTACGGATCAGTACGGATCAGTACGGATCAGTACGGATCAGTACGGATCAGTACGGATCAGTACGGGTCCCGCGAGATTTTCCCCTGTGTGAGTCCAAGCTGGCTACGCTTGAAAAAAGCATGGATTTTCAGTCAAGACAGGGTGATGACCGTGTTGTTGCATGCCCTGCTCCCCCTGTTTCATCTTCATTGTTGTTGTCTGCTCTGCTCCCCACCCACCATGCCATACTCCCCCATGCCATACTCCTTCCCTCTTTGCCCCTCCGCCTTGGATTCTCCCCCATCCCATGCCATACCCCCCATGCCATACTCCACCATGCCATACTCCCTCCCTCTTTGCCCCTCCGCCTTGGATTCTCTCCCCCATGGCACATCCCGCCTTCTTTCACCAAACTATGCCATAATGCTCCCGTGCCTCCCTCCCTCCTTCCCTCCCTCCCTCCCTTTCTCCCCCCCTCCCTCTCATACTATCAGGTAGTCTTGGGCTCTCTTGAAGACCCCTCCGCCCTCGACTCCCTCCTCCAAGGCTCATCCGGCCTCTTTCACCTAGCCGGAATCGTCACCCACTCACGCGCCGCCACGTCATCCCCACAACCCACTCTCGCCCAAACCACCATCGACGGCACGCTAGCTATTCTCCACGCGGCTTCTAAAGCCGGAGTTAATCGGGTGGTCTACGCCTCCACCTCAGGAACTGTAGGGGCGAGTAGGGATCCTGGACAGGTGGCGAGCGATGATTCGCCGTATGCTATGGGTGTGGTGGGGGGATGGCCGTACTACCGGGCGAAGATAGAGGCGGAGGAGCGGGCGAGGGCGTATGCAGAGGGGCTTGGAATGGAGCTGATCTGCATGCGACCGACCCTCATTCTGGGGCCAGGTGAGTTATGAAACCTGGAAGAGACTCCGTTTGCTTATGAGTAGACCAAGTATACAGTACGTTAACTCTTGTTCGTTTCTGTATGAAAATATGTTTCTGGATAGGCATGCGTGAGGGGGGGGAGGAGGGGAGGGGGTCGCGAGGGGACCGCCCTGCCCTTCCATGTATCAGACGCGCCCCACCGCCCACCGCCCCAACGCCCGCTGCCCCACGGCACCACTGCACCACCGCCCACTGCCTCACCACCCCACCGCCCTTCCATGGACCTGGAAACGCCCTTCTCACAGGCCTATCTTATCCGCCTCCCACCCTCCACTGCCCTTCTCACCCCCCCCCGTGTATCATGTACGCCATGCACCACACACACCGCGCCCCACGAGGTAACTACTGTTGAGGCGCCTAAAAAGTACACCCGCATGTGTATTGTTCGCCATGCACCACACACACACCACGCCCCACCAGGTAACTGTCTGCTTTTGAGGCGCCTCTAGAGCAACCCACCCTCCACTGCCCTTCTCATCCCTGTGTACCGTACGCCATGCACCACACACACACCACGCCCCACGTGGTAAGTGTCGGCTCAGCTCGTGCCACAGTGTGCTGAGTATCGTGAAGTCACGATCACATGCCGATTTCCCACCGTTGTGTCACATCCCAGAAGTCATACACCACGCCCCAACAGGTGACTATCGGCTCAGCTTGTGCTGCAGTGTGCTTGAATCTCTATCTTTATTTACAGTACAGTACAGTACAGTACAGTACAGTACTGGCTATCGGCTATAGGCTCACATGCCACACACCCTTCCCACCCTAAGCTCATGTCGCACTGTGCTTGACATCACGCTGCTAGATCCGATAACCCTGTGTGGGCCTCTCCCCTTGCCTCCCTACTGTGTCCTAGCACCATGCACCATGCACCATGCACCATGCACCATTCACCATACACCATGCACTATGCACCATGCACCATGCACTATGCACCATGCATGCACCACGCACCATGCACCATGCACCATGCACCATGCATGCACCACGCACCATGCACCATGCACCATGCACCATACACCATACACCATGCACCATGCACTATGCATGCACCACGCACCATGGACCATGCACCATGCACCATGCACCATGCACCATGCACCGTGCGCAATGCGCCATGCACCACGCAACAAGCACCATGCGTCATGCACCATGGGCCATGCGCTATGCACCATGCGCCATGTACCGTGCACCATGCACCATGCGCCATGCACCATGCATGCCCCGCGCACCATGCACCATGCGCCATGCACCATGCATGCCCCGCGCACCATGCACCATGCGCCATGCACCATGCACCATGCACCGTGCACGCACCATGCACCATGCACCATGCACCATACATTTACCCACCAGGGGACTATCGGCTCAGCACGTGCCACATCGTCCTTGGCATTATGGAGAGCTGGTTGAGGGTGTATTTTGAGTCGACTCAGAACACAGCAGTCTGAATGCCCACACCACACCACCCCCTTCCCCAACCCTGCTCTCCCTTGTATCACATGCCTGCACTATACCCATCAGGCGACTATCGCCTCAGCTCGTGCCGCACTGTACTTGACATCATGGAACGACGCATCCCCTTTGTGCCACCTGGCGGGCTCTCATTCGTGGACGTGCGGGACGTGGTGAGTGCCAGTGCAACCAATCAAGCCATGCCATTGGCGCACGAGCCAGGTTGAGGTTATTTGAGATTTCTCAAAAACACCAGCCATTATAAAAGCCAGCAATGGCTATGCTGAGCCAGGTTGATGTTACTTGAGAGGGAGCCGATTTGAGTTTGCAGTTTGGGTTTCCAGTTTGGCAGTTTGAGTTTGGCAGTTTGAGTTTGCAGTTTGAGTTTGCAGTTTGAGTTTGCAGTTTGAGTTTGCAGTTTGAGTTTGCAGTTTGAGTTTGCAGTTTGAGTTTGCAGTTTGAGTTTGCAGTTTGAGTTTGCAGTTTGAGTTTGCAGTTTGAGTTTGCAGTTTGAGTTTGCTGTTTGAGTTTGCTGTTTGAGTTTGCTGTTTGGAAGCAGCAATGGCTATGCTGAGCCAGGTTGAGGTTAGTTGAACCGTTCTCAAGAACGCCCTGCTGAGAGGATGTTGCTGTTGCTGAGGTTGGGGTTAGTCGAAAGTTGCTGTTGGGCCACAGCCATTGCTGCTTTTTATAACTGCCATGCAGTCAGCAGCACCTCCCAACTCCTAGCAACCGACAGCATGATTCCTCGGCCAAGGCACCGTTCCCTTTTCAACCCTGGCCGTGTCTTGAGCTGATCCTCTCAGCTGCAGGCTGCAGCTTTTATCGCTGCAATGCAGTCAGCCCCTCCCAACTCCACGTACCTCCTAGGAGCTGTCAACACGACCCTTGGGTCAATGCACCACCCCTTCTCCGTGCCTGCCTTGTCTCGTGCTTTCCATTGCAGGCCACTGCCTTTGTCACTTCTATGCTGTCCGCACCTCCTAACACCACGTACCTCCTAACACCACGTACCTCCTAACACCACGTACCTCCTAACACCACGTACCTCCTAACTCCGCGTACCTCCTAACTCCGCGTACCTCCTAACTCCGCGTACCTCCCAGGAGCAGTCAGCATGAGCCTATCCTGTTAACTCCACCTCGTCGCACGCCATGCTGCCTCTCCTGGCGTGTTCCCTCCGCTTTCCTAAGTGTTCAATCGCAGGCCACAGCCTTTATCACAGCTATGTGGTCAGCACCTCCCAACTCCAAGTGCCTCCTGGGAGGCACTTGGAGTTTATCACAGCTATGTGGTCAATCGTAAGCATGACCCTGTCACAGCTATGCTATGTGGTCAGCATGACCCTATCAGACTGCTTCCACCTCGTGGCACGCTGCCTTCTCTCGTGCCCTCTTCTTTCCCTCCCCCGTGTGTACTACTGCACCGCAGGCCACTGCTTTCACCGCTGCAATGCAGTCCGCACCTCCCAGCTCCACATACCTCCTGGGAGCTGTCAACATGACTCTATCCGATTACTTCCAGCTCATCGCGCGCTATGCTGACGTGGTGCCACCCTGGCTGTCTGTGCCGCCACGTGTCGCGTGGGTATTGGCCGCCGCTGCATCGAAACTCCTGCCCCTAATTGGCCGGAAGGACCCATCCCTTGACCCTGTAGTGGTTGAGATGGCTCAGGTTTTCTGGTGAGTGTTGGTCGAAAGGAGGCGTTCTCAAGGCACGTACACATGGTGTTTTTTAGAATTCTCAAAAACACCCTTAAAGGGTGTATTCTCAAAGCACGTTCACGGTAACAAGGTCCGCTATGGGCCCCTCGCTTGACCCTGTTGTTGTTGAGATGGCTCAGGTCTTCTGGTGAGTGTGAGTTTAATGAAATGTGATTGTGCGTGGGTGTCGCTTGAACCTGCTGTCATTGAGATTGCTAAGGTTTACTCGTGACTGTGAGTCGGTGTGATTGTAAGTGAGTGTGAGTGAGAGTGTAGGCAAGTGCGAATGTCTGTGAGTGTGAAGGTATGTTGGTGTGATTTTAGGTGACTAAATGTATATGCATGCAGGGCAGAAAGGAGCTTGGCTTTGCCCCTCGACTGTACATTCAAATTGGCTTCATACCACACCGTTCTATATCACACCACCCTGCAGCAGCAGACCACACACCTCTTCTCACCACCCCACCCCATCAGGTACATTGATTGGAGCCGGGCAGAGAAGGAGCTTGGCTTCTCACCTCGGCCATATGAGGAGACAGTTGCTGACACGGTGGTATGGCTTCGAGAACACAGGAGGGAGCTGAGCGGTTGACTGAGAGGTGCTGCTGCTGCTGCTGCCATATTGTTACATTTGCATGCCTTCTTGGGATCAACCACCCCGGCCATATGAGTCAACAGTTGCCGACTCTGGAGACACTGCTACAGTGGCAGTGCATTAGCTGAAGCTTTGGTTGATCTCTCAACTTGAGATGTACAGTAGCCCTGATTGGAAACGAATGATGGTACAGTAGCCATCGAAATAAGGTACAGCAAGTGATGCATAATATGTTAGGAGAGGGTTTAGCTAGGTAGGAGAATTTTAGCGAGAGAAAAGAGAGTTGACTAGGAGAGAGAGAGAGGCACAAGAAGTGGATCGTTCCCTCTACAATAGGATCCAGCCATTTGTAAAACCAGGGCCTCAGCTAGGATTTTGGGCATCCTGTCTACTCAGGGCTAGGCCTTAAAAACATGTGCAGTGGTCAGGGTTGGACGTCAATGGTCATACTGTTTTGTCAGGGTTGGGATCCAGTGGCAAACATAACTTATATTGTTACTGTAGACTATACAGGTTTGTGCCTTAGAGGGTACAACTCACTAGTCTATATTATCTTGTCATTCTAGTCATCATTTCATTCTGATATGGTATCATAGTAGGTTAGGTCTCCCCCCCTAGCCCGCCCACGCTTCCGCCCCTAGGCCCTAGCCGCCGTCTTGCCCCGCTCCTAGCAGGACCCCCTTGCCGTCGCGCCCGCCCCTAACCGGCCCCCTGGCCGTCGCGCCCGACCTTAGCTGGCCCCCTGGCCGTTCGCGCCCGTCCCTAGCTGCCCCCCTGGCCGTTCGCGCCCGTCCCTAGCTGGCCCCCTGGCCGTTCGCGCCCGTCCCTAGCCGGCCCCCTGGCCGTCACGCTCGTCCATAGCCGGCCCCCTGGCCGTCGCACCCATCCCTAGCTGGCCCCCTGGCCGTTCGCGCCCGTCCCTAGCTGGCCCCCTGACCGTTCGCGCCTGTCCCTAACTGGCCCCCTGGCCGTTCGCGCCCGTCCCTAGCTGGCCCCATGGCCGTTCGCGCCCGTCCCTAGCTGGCCCCCTGGCCGTTCGCGCCCGTCCCTAGCTGGCCCCCTGGCCGTTCGTGCCCGTCCCTAGCCGGCCCCCTGGTCGTTCGCGCCCGTCCCTAGCTGGCCCCCTGGCCATTCGCGCCCGTCCCTAGCTGGCCCCCTGGCCGTTCGCGCCCGTCCCTAGCTGGCCCCCTGGCCGTTTGCGCCCGTCCCTAGCTGCCCCCCTGGCCGTTCGCGCCCGTCCCTAGCCGGCCCCCTGGCCGTTCGCGCCCGTCCCTAGCCGGATCTTTGGTCGTTCGCGCCCGCCTCTGGCCGGCCCCCTGGCCGTTTGCGGCCGCCCCTAGCTGTCGTCGCGGCCGCCCCTAGCTGTCGTCGCGGCCGCCCCTAGCCGTCGCGGCTGCCTCTAGCCGCGGTCGCGGCCGTTTCCTGTCGTCCCACGGCCGCCCCTTGCTGTCGCGCCCGCCCCTAGCCGCCGTCGCGGCGGTTCCTAGCCGCCGTCGCGCCTGCTCTTAGCCGTCGCGGCCGCCCCTAGCTGCCGTCGCGGCCGTTTCCAGCCGGCTCACGGCCGCCCCTCGCCGTCGCGGCCGCCCCTAGCCGCCGTCGCTGCCATCGCGGCCGGCTCTACTCGCGCCAGCTCCTAGCCGGCCCCCGTTGCCGCCGTTTGCTGGCCCCTCGCGTCCGTCGCCCGTCGGCCCGCCCCTGCATTCGCGTCGTCGCCAGCCCGCCGCCGTCTCGGGTTCGGTACGTTCTTCCCGATCAGCACCGCCCTGCGAACCCCCCCCCCCCCCGGTACCATACTCAACCGCCTTGCACCGCACTGCACCGCACTGTACCGCACTGTACCACATTGCACCGCACTGCACCGCGTTGCACCGCACTGCACCGCCATATACCGCACTGCACCGCACTATCCTGCTCTACACTGCCCTCTATTGTCACTGATGGCGGCGGTGCTTCGCTTTTGACGCTGAGGGCCAACCGATTGAGTTTGATGCGTGGCTTGCTGACCTCCGTCGCCACCTCACTGGTCAGCGGCAGGATGGCCACTCTCTGTCTGTTCATCTTGACGGTACTCTCCCCTGCCCTGACCCCCCCACTGCACTGTCTACTGACCCCTCGTCCGCTGAGCGTCAGTCCGCTGCGGCCGCTGCCCTTGCTCGCTCTGTCTGGCTGTCCCGTGACGCTGTCGCACAGCTGGCTATTAGCAATGCCCCCCCCCCTGTCCTAGCGACCTCGCTTCAGGTCTATCACCACTGCCCAGGCTTTCCTTGATACGGTTGTCCAGCGCTATTCCACCCCGCCTGCTGCCTCGGGCGGTCGTCTGATCCTCCCCATGCTCTTCCCTGACCTTGAGTCGTTCCCCACTGTCGCCGACCTGGCCGCTCACCTGCGCACTATAGACGAGACCTGGCGTGCTGCCAGCTTCTAGCCTACCAGCCGCCCCTCACCTCTACCCTCTACCTGCTCGCCACCCGCCTCCCTGACCGTCTTGCCACTGCCCGTGACCACTTCCTTAGCGTCCACCCTGCAGACCTCACCCTCACTGAATTTGTTGACACCCTGTCCGCTATAGAGGCCCGCCACCGCTCTATCGCTCAGACCAGCGGTACTGTGCCGGTCCCTATCTTACAAGGTTGCGCCCCCGCTTAGTGCACCTTCTCCGACGGTTCTGCTGCTGTGGCTGAGACTGCCGCTGCAGCACAGGTCCGTCCGGGGAAGGGTCGCCGCCCCAAGACTAGGCGTGGCGGCGAGGGTGGGGGTGCGGGTGGAGGTGGTGGTGGAGTGGGGTCGCCTGGTGGTGGCGCGGACGAGGGGACCCTGGCAGGCACAACCGAGCAGCCGCAGCAGCCGCGGCAGCCGAGTCAGGCGAGTGGCCTTCCGCCCGGGTGGCCTGGCGCTGGTGGTGGTCGTGCGCGTGGTGGTGTGCCGGGTGGCGGTTCGGGAGGCGTGTGTCAGTACCAGCTTCAGACCGGTCCTCGCCGCGGCTTTGTTTGCGGTAAGATCGGCCACACCACTACCCGCTGCTTTCGTCGCCTGGACGACCTGTTTCGTCAGCGCTTAGACCCGTCGCCCGACCTCCTGGACTGGCACAGCTTGGTTAGTCGTAGAGTTCATATTTTTGACATGGATATGGATGCCATTGTTGCTGCCCTACATGTGATGTATGCTGATGACTCTAGTGTGCTTCCCTCTTATTACCCCTTGTTGCCTAGTGTAGGTGTGCCTAGCTTAGACTCCCCTGCTGCGTCAGGCGTAGGATCTCCTGCTTTGTTTAGCCTCGGTGCTTCCGCCGCTGCTCCGCCGCCGGACGCCACTGCTGCGCTTTCCTTCACCTTGGACTCTGGCGCTTCCCGGTGTTTCTTCCGCGACTCCACTACGCTGACGCCGCTTCCTGTTCCCTGGTCACAAGCGGTATGCTGTCTGTACCGAGGCCGCCACTGGTGCCCCCCTTACCACGTTCCCCCGGGACCCGGTGTCCGGCCTGTTCACACTGGACACTGTGACCCCCCCGGCTGGGGTGCCCCCCCCCCCCAAGGTGGCTGCGTCTACCCAAGTTGCTGCTGCTTGCTCTTGTCGGTCCCTTACGCACCCAACTCTCTTGTGGCACCACCGCCTAGGTCACCCTGCGCTCCGACACGGCGTCAGCGGCTGCTACGACAGCGGTGGCGGTGGTGGTGGGTGGCAGCGGAGCCAGCGGCACCTGCAGCGGCGGCGGCGGCTTCGACGACGGCGGCGGCGGCTGCAAAGCTCACGGCACCCGGCGGCGTGGCACAGCCCGGCGCGACGGGGAAGGGAGCCATCAGCTGCAGTTGGGATGAAGGGAGTCGCAGGGGAGGGGGCGTGCCTTCATCGAGGCGCCATGGCTGGCACGCTGGCTGGTGTGCGGGCGTGCTGGCTGGCACCTAAAACAGTGCTCTGGCCGCAGCTGACCGTGCCGCCACGGCAGCACGCAACGTCACGGCAGCACAACGAGGCCGCCACGGCAGCGCGACGAGGCTGCCGCAGCAGCGCATCGAGGCCGCCGCGGCAGCGCGTCGAGGCCGCCGCGGCAGCGCATCGAGACCGCCGCGGTAGTGCGTCGAGGCCGTCGCGGCAGCGCACGAGGCTGCCTTGGCAGCGGGTCAAGGCTGCCACGGCAGCTCAACGAGGCCGCCACGGCAGCGCGGAGAGGCCGCCATTGTAGCGCAAGGAGGTTGCCGTGGTGGCGCGAAATTGGGAGGAGAGGAGAGAGTGCTATGCGGAAGCGTGGGGAGAAGGCCTAAGCAGAAGGACTTGATCTGAAACCATGTTAGGAGAGGGTTTGGCTAGGTAGGAGAAGTTTAGCGAGAGAAAAGAGGGTTGACTAGGAGAGAGAGAGGTACAAGAAGTGGGTTGTACCTTAACAGTAGGATCCAGTCATTTGTAGAACGCCTAACACCTACCAAGCCTACACATGTATATATATATATATATAATATATAAGTTGACATAATAATACATATTCATGAAGTTAGGCATGCATCTAGTATGGATATCTGTAACTCGTGCGTGCAGCGAAAAGAAAAAGATGTGAAAGTGCAACATAAGCAATGGAGAATACACTTCCAAGAAGTGTGTACCTTGCAGCTTTGAATTGAATCAACAGACACAACTACACCCTGCTACAGGGGAGCCAGAGAATCCAGAAGCTTCTGCTGAAGTGGCGGCATGGAGTCAGCCATTGGCTGGTGAACTGGCAGCACCGAGGTCATGAGCTGCTCCTGAGGTGGCACTGTCTTGCCCTCGCTTTCAAACCATGCCACGTTGGCCTTGTAGCCTGCAGTAGAGAGAAAAATCTTGAGAAATTAATACCACTCGTCCAATACGCAGAAACAGCTTGCGTGAATTAATAAAACGGACCTTGGAGAAATTAAACAAAAAATAATATCTTGATCCTGACTCACCTTGCTCGGGCTTCCAGCAGCGGGTCTTGAGTTCACGGTACTCCTTATCAACATATAATTTGTATATGTTATATGCTAGCTAGGTGCATGCTCATATAGGGTACAACCCCTAACATAATCCCTTGTACATCCTCATTCTAGCTAACAATTCTACTCTGAGATGGTATCACCCACTAGGTTAGGTCCTCCCCGCCCACCCAAGATTCCGCTCTAGTCCTAGCCCTAGCCGCCCGTTCCCGTCGCGCCCCGCTGGCCCCTTAGCGCCCCGCTAACCTTTTGCGCCCCGCTGGCCCCGTAAGCCCTACGGGGCCCGTTCGCCCTGCTGGCCCGTTAGCGCCCCCTCGGCCCCGTTAGCACCCCGCTGGCCCCGTCGCGCCCTACTGACCCCTTAGCGCCCCGTCAGCCCCGTGCGCCCCACTGGCCCCGTTCGCCCCGCTGGCCCGTTAGCGCCCCGTCGGCCCCGTTAGCGCCCCGCTGGCCCCCTCGTGCCTGGCTGGCCCCGTACGCCCCGCTGGCCCCTTAGCGCCCCGCTAGCCCCGTGCGCCTTGCTGGTCC